TCCGTATTCCTGTCTGGCGAAAAGGTTGAGCCAAAATTGTTTGTTGACCTAGGCAGCACAGCTTGCGTGGTACGTACAGGGTCACACAACAAGCTATATTTAAACAGAATGCTCCACTTTTGAAGTCACTGAAGCAGGTATCATATATGGTAATGAGCCCACCTATAACTACTGGTGTACGTTTAAGTGGAAAAGGCTGCTCTAGACCACGCAATTTCTCAAAATATGTCCCTCAATACATGACTATTTGCTACGTCATCGCACCTTAGACAACATTGATTGAGAGCCGACTGACGGCTGTTATATTTTTCATCTTAAATCGTGCTCACAAATGCCTGATATGAACGACTCGACAATCACATTTTTCTTGGCCTTTCTGGCCCTTTTTTCTCTTGAAAGGGCAAAATTCGGATGACGTTATTATGGCGTTATAAATGCCGGGGTGACCTTGAAATAGCATGTGCGAAGCAGTCTGCACATTTTTGCGGGTGTTTAGCTTAGAAACTAAAGAGGTTTAGGTACTATAAAGAATAGGGCTGTGAACTGCACCATTTGATCTTGAATGTGACTTTTTTTGTCTCAAAACTCCTCACAAATGTGAAATATTCCCTTTGGCAGGTACCGCCCACAAAAAGTCAACCATGCAAACCATCCGGAACAAACTTATTCAGAAATGACGGTCTGATTACATCGATGCTGTATGATTCTCTCTTCGTGTCAAGACACACACACACACACACACACACACACACACACACACACACACACACACCACACACACACCACACACACACACACACACACACACACACACACACACACACACACACACACACACACACACACACACACACACACACACACACACACACACACACACACACACCACACACACACACCACACACACACACACACACACACACACACACACACACACACACACACACACACACACCACACACACACACACACACACACACACACACACACACACACACACACACACACACACACACACACACACACACACCACACACACACACACACACACACACACACACACACACACACACACACACACACACACACACACACACACACACACACACACACACACACACACATGCACACGCGCTACGTATGTAGGCATACAGCCGATACTGAGCGTTCTGAGGTGCACGTTTGCGCGTGTGAGTTATTTTTGCAAGAACCACAGTGAAAATATAGTAGGCAAGGGTGCCTTTGAATGCCTTCAGTCAATGGTAGCCAAAATACATTTATTGCTAAAGTAGATCTATTTTTATCTCGGAGTCTATGGATTTCTCCACTTTCTTCTCTAAAGTTGAGAGTTGGGGAGCTGGAGCCCCAGCTGAGTACGAAGCTATGTTGGGACACACAACTTTGTAGCTGTGACCATAGATGCTCGCCTAGGCGGTTAAATATTCGCCAATTTTGAGGGTCATCGGTCATTTGCGAGTGTCCCTCATTTGCTTCCATGCCTCGCTATAAGGTAGCTGTCAAATTCACTGCAGAGTTGGGTGAGTTTCCGTGCCCCCATATCCGTCCTTCATCAATGACAAAGCGATCTAGCTGCGGGTTTCATGTCAATATGAGGGCCAGCGGAGTTGTTACCATAATTGGATATCAAGGGTAAAGCGGCTGCTGCAGGGAATGACGCGAGAGCGGGAGGGCTTATGTCGCCAACAAATTGCTCGCGGCTAATGATCAGCCGGATGAAGTAAAGCATGCAAGTCTACCCGATCGTCAGCGCGGCAACGCCAAAGTCTAGAGCAAACAGATTGTGCTTATACCCCACCAACGTCAACACTCGAGGACGTAGGAAGGTGGCACATTCGAGCTTCACGTGTCGATGTTTACAAATAGTCTAAAAATGGAAAATAGGGGGCCCAAGGATGGCAAAAATCCAGTGTCAGCAAGGGCTTCCCTATTTGGTCGGAACGATTCGCTACGCAAAGACAAAGCCGCGACTCCACATATCAAAAGGGATCTCTCGTTAGTTTGGGCCCTCTGACAATGAGAAAAGGTATGACACATGACAATGAAACGGGCTATGACAAGAGACAATGCAAGGGCTCACATTGGGTCAATGCGAGGACATCATATCAGTCTGAGTGTCTCTGTAACGCTTTGCCCCTTTTTGCTAAGTGGCTTGAAAGGCCGAAATGGTGCACCAGTGCCAAATATCTGACCTCCCGTACAGGTAAGGGAAGTGGGTCGAAGCTGGGCGCGGCACGTCACGCTGAGAAATGCCTCATTTTACCTGGATGTTTTGCACCATAAAACCTCCGGAGTCGTTCACCTTTCCAAACTGTAAGAAACACACATTTTTACATTGGGCCAAGACTGCACTTTCGCAAAAGAGATTTGGAGGGAGGCTGAACAGCGCAAAGTGACGAAACCACCCAAAAGCTACACAATCAAACGTCCTTTCCCCAGATTTGGCCCGCTTTCCGTTAAAAGTCTGAAGAAGCGGGTTGAAGCCCGCCAACTGAATAGGAAATTGCACCCCCGCTATGAGCTTAAGAAACCTTTACACCGTCGGCGCACTTTGTAATGCATAATAAATCGAACTTTTGTCGTTAAGTCCCTACAAATTCGTGACACATCAGTGGTAGACTCCCAATTTTCCATAGGTATGTTCTGAATCAGCGAGACGAGAGGAATGTTTGTGTAGCACTGCGGTCCAGATCGGCCCACCACGTAACACTGAGGTCTAGATCGGCCCACCACGTAACACTGAGGTCCAGATAAGCACACCATGTAACACTGAGGTCTAGATCGGCACACCATGCAACACTGAGGCCCAAATCAGCACGCCATGTAACACTGATGTCCAGATCGGCACACCGTGTAACACTGCGGTCCAGATCGGCGCACCATGTAACACTGGGGTCTAGATCGGCATACCATGTAACACTGAGGTCCAGATCGGACTGCCATGTAACACTGGGGTCCAGATCGGCACACCATGTAACATTGAGGTCCAGATCGGACTGCCATGTAACGCTGTGGTCCAAATCGGCACACCATGCAACACTGAGGTCTAGATCAGCATACCATATAACATTGAGGTCCAGATCTGACTACCATGTAACGCTGGGGTCCAGATCAGCACACCATACATGATGCCGCGTGAGCAAACTCGCCCCACTCGGCAATGGGCAACTGTGAGCTCAGCGCTGTTCGAAGCGCATCAGGGACTGAAGAATAGGGGCTGCCGTATGCCGATCAATCGCATATCTGGCAGTTGCGGGGAAGCCGAAGGTGAAAACCAGAATATAACGACCAGCAGAGCACATAAATGCAGCTTGAGTGATGGTTTCAAGAAGATTTTCTGCTTAACTGGCTATTCGCGGGGTTACATAAATTTTGGCGCGACGAATATAAAGTGGCGATTAGAGCATCAGGAAACACCCCACCACCAACATGTGTGTGCTCGTAAACGACGAGGAGACGGCAGCTCAGCCCGCCAGCCAACTCCAATATGCTGGCAACGACCAGATCCAGAGCTGAGACGGCCAGTCAACTTTTCCTTCGGCGAAGCGTGGAATTGGTCGGCAGCCTGTTGGCCAAGGTGTTCCCGACTTGGGAGGACGGTACCAATGCACAGCGTGGATCAATGAGGGGGCCATCTTGGCGCCGAAAAGCCCCGCTGCTGGTGATGCAAACCACAAGCCTCCGGAGAGCCAGCATAGAGAGACAAGGGCTTGCAGTTCGTTGGACTCTGTCCAAGAGGAGGCTCTGAACCATCCATAGGAGCCTCTCAGCAGCCTGAAGCCAACAGGACTCCCATCATACCACTTGTGCTCAACCAAGGTGAGCTTGTCATGCCTCTATGAAACCTGGATCGCAAGCTCTGCAATGGCGACAGTTGTGAAAAGTAAGGTCAGCGGAGCAAAGGTCTATATCCACAACTGCTAATGCCATCTAACATGCCAGTCGAGTTCGAACGGGTTCGAAATACTATCAGGCAGAGCTACGCTGAAACCATGAGCAAGTGCGAAGGCCGGCCCCTGAAGATAACATGTTTCAACCTGACTGAGCTAGTATCTTACCTGGATGAGAGTCCTGTTCCTGTCCTTATCCTGTTTTTGTTTTTTATTTGGGACTTCTAGGATATTATGAAAGACGTAAACAAGATCGCTTTGGATTTATATTAAAGGCCGAAATTCTATCCTCTGTGCTTTGATATGAATGCAACTGGACGTCAAAAATAATCCCAAACGCTTTTGACCAAGGAAATGTTTAGGTTGAACTGCAGAGGAAGTTCTGTCCCACCTTTTAATGCAAATACAGCTCCATTTGTGATTGCTGGTCGCGACCGATCAGTTGAGCTGAGGCCTCTGTTGCGAATGTGGCATAGGATCGCCTGTTGCGAATGTGTCAAAGGATCCTCTATTGCGAATGTGACAAGGGATCCTCTGTTGCGAATGTGACATAGGATCGCCTGTTGCGAATGTGTCAAAGGATCCTCTGTTGCGAATGTGACATAGGATCGCCTGTTGCGAATGTATCAAAGGATCCTCTGTTACGAATGTGACATAGGATCGCCTGTTGCGGATGTGACAAAGGATCCTCTGTTGTGAATGTGACATAGGGTCGCCTGTTGCGAATGTGTCAAAGGATCCTCTATTGCGAATGTGACATAGCATCGCCTGTTGCGAATGTGTCAAAGGATCCTCTGTTGCGAATGTGACATAGGATCCTCTGTAGCTGCTGTTCCAAGGGACTCGCTGTTGTGGCGACGAACACTGATCAGCCGTCTATTTCCTTTTCTATGTGCATCGCTCTTTCTACCAGTCTGCCGGGAAAATACGCGATGTTATGAGTGTTTCCGGACAGTATTAGCCGGCTTGAGAAGTGCGGTGTCTTCTACTAGAGATTGTCTACCTTCTACCTGTGCTGTTTCTGTAAATGATTTGCACCTGGGCTAGTCTACTATTTCGTTTAAGCGTGTTTCACTATTAAAAGTATGTACAGCGACAAATATATACAACGCAGCCCGTGGCATGAAGCCAGGTACAACCTATCAAATCGCTGCTCGGTGCATGAGCTACTGCATTACCCGAGCTTCGCCCCAGCTACTTGTGTCCCAGCTACTTTATAATACAGATGAGCCTGAATCAGGCGGGCAGTACCTTTCTGACATACACAAACTGCTGATGTGGATCGCGTGGTTGCCTCTTGGAAGAACCATTTTCCCGAGCGCCGGCCCTCTGCCATAAGAGCCGGGCAGGCTGTGCGTGTTCGGCATCATTTCTCATTATCGTGCTGCACTGGCGTGCTGACATGATATATCGGCCACGCTCAAACCGGTTCCCCGTGCGCACGCCATGGATGTTGACCGACGCGCATTATACTCTCCCAAAGGCATTTTTCACATTTAGTTGTTAGAACCATGACAGACTCGGTTAGTCCAAGCACATAAATTTTGTTCCCACGTCGCTTTGGTGGAGGCATAAAGGCGTCGGCGTGATTATGTCACTAAATTGCGATCCGCTAGAAACCCGTAAGAAGATTGATCCTGGGATGAGATAACAAGGAACGACATCACACTGCTATAGACAAATTACTGTAAGCGATGAACAAGTGTGCCAGTCTGCCATTTGCTGTTTTGCACAAAGCATTGTCTTGTTTTACCATTTCACACACGGACTCCGTGTATCTATTGGGTAATTTCCACGTACCTTTTCCCGACTAGCAATGCAAGTTAATGGCTTATACCGCACCGTGACGATAGCCCCCATCGTGATATGACGGGTGTCGCATCATTACCCTGATCCATAACGTTCCCATGGAGACAGTACAGGTAGCTTCAGCCGCTTAGCAGACAGCTTCAGACGTGGCCGCGTTGCCAGCCCGGTGCCGGCCGTGTGTGGCCGGCGCCGACGCGGCGAGCTGCGAGTGCCGCCGCACCGCCCGCTGTTCCGCCCCCGCTGACGGCGGCGCTCGTGCCGCAGACGCCCCGGCGGCCAGCGTCACTCTCGGCAGCTCCCTCGACCCCGGCAAGATCAAGGAAGGTGACGGCGTCTACTTCGAGTGCAGCATCAGCGCCAACCCACCCGTCTACAAGAAAGAATGGAAACACAATGTGAGACTGATGTGCATCTGTCGCATCCTCATGCAGCTGTAATGGACACATTGTCAGGAGGATGTGCCACTTTATATCGCTGTCACATATCTGTTGATAAATGACATCAAAAGTGAGAGAATGGCTTCTTTCAGAGTTGAGTCCTGCATTATTTTAGTTACGAGTTTTGTTCCTTGTATCTTTTTTTCGTTACGAACTACGTGATACGTTCAATTATTGGCGGAGGGAACAAAATGTCATGTAACATAACCCTCAGATGCCACGTAGGTCGCTAAACAACTAAGCTGTATTTTGTATCTTGGGCTCGCTTTGAGTCCATGGTCTGTATAGTTTCGTTCCGCATGGTACTGAGGATGTGGCGTCAGGCGTCCGCATGCCCAGTCACGCTCAAAGGATGGCCGAACCATTCACAGCTCTGTCACGCTCGACGATGGGCGACGCATAAGAACAATGTATGCGACCTTTCCTTGTTTCGTAGAAGACTTTCTCGTTTGGTCAGGTACCCGCTCCATACTACGAAGGCACTGGATATGTCGGCGTTATGGCAGCGTTGTGCCGCGGCTATTGTGGGAATTATTTTTGCATTGCGAATTATGTGGATTACAAAGAAACGTACGGCACATTAATGGCATACTGAAGTGTGCTTGACGGTGTGTATACAGCAAGTAAAGTAAATATGGTGCGGGGACAACAAACCACTGTCTGCGTCTGCAACCATTGCTCACAACAATGTGTTGTGCTTGTTGAAGTGAAACAGTAACCCACAAGACCGCATGTTTCTCATCGCACGCAGAACCGCGTGCTGGAGCACAGTGTCCGCGAAGGCATCATCATCAGCAACTACAGCCTGGTGCTGCAGGACGTCCGTCGCTCCAGCTCCGGCGTCTACACCTGCATTGGCTTCAATGTGGAGGGGGATGCCGAAAGCAATCCAATCTTCCTCGACGTCAAGTGTAAGATCTCCTGCTGTGTTGATCTCGTGCGTGCATGACTCCTTCATTGACTCCACGGCAGAAAAGTAGGCCCGAATTTATTCAGTTTGAATTTGTTTACGATGTTTTCAAGATCATTTGCGTAGATCACCATCTTCCCTCCCCCCTGAATAGTTCCGTGTTTGCGCGGTTTGCGTCAGCGGGGTGCAGCCAGCGTCTAAGGATGGACCCGACACACAGTCCCAGGGAGGGGGCGTGGGAAGTCCAGAATGCCGCGCCGATCTACAAAACAAATAATGGTAGGGATAGGGGGGCGAAATATATAGGGATAGGGAATAAGGGCGAAAATGGGCTTTTCCTTAACTATCTGGGCAGGGTAGACATTATTGCCGACCCCCTCCCCCTCCTCGCTACCCATCTCTGCCTTGCAAAGGTCTGTGTCGGGTATTCAGAATGCCAACTGATCAGAGGTAATTTTCGAAAGTGGAATAATAATGCTGCTGATGATAAGAAGTGGCCTTTTAGAAGGCGGTGATTATCTGAGGGCCAGGGAGATGCTCTGGGCAGGGGAAGGGCGGCGAACCTATTCCTTTTGGGTGCCAAGCGATTGCAATAAGTGGACCATGCACTGGCTTTCGAGGTAGAGACGCAAAGAGCACCAGAAAGCACCTTGCCCCATGGCGACGTTCTCGGATAGACAAATGGACATCTGAGATATGTAGAGCGATGAAGGTCAGCTTGTGTATAAAACAAGGCGAAGCGGTCCTGGTATTGCTGTTGGTGATAGGTTAGGCTACAATGCTGTCGATGTTAGGTTGAAGTAGGTTAAAATGTTACAACCACCCGAAAAGTATGTTAGACGACGTACGATTGCTTGAGCTCAGACGCATTTTAATCATTTGAGCGTCAAGCAAGCTTGAGCACGGTAGCACAAATAGGCGGGTTCGCCCTCAATATGAAACAATCTATCTCGTATCACTTCTACGTTCAGTAATGCATTCCGCTGCTTTTTCGTATCCGCGAAGGAACATGGCGCTTACGATCATCGATGAGGCCGAAGGAATCCGTGGTGCCGCGCACACCAGTTCGACCGGCCAGCTGATGTTTAGTCCTGACCAAGACCCTAGAACAGAAGGCATGACCGTTCGGCCAAATTCCGCTGTTTCGACTGATGACGTCACAAGTGTACTCGGCACGTAATGGTCAACGGCGGATGCACGCCTACCGCAGTTTGCTTGGCTTTTTGAAAAGGTTCTAAGGCTGGAAGCCGTAAAATATTTTTGGTTAGATCATAACAAGACTATTTCTTGTCCAAACAGGCCATAATATGAGCTCCAAGGTCCATTAAAACGCTCCCAGGCGGCCTGCTAGATACCATTCGCTCGGGTGGGGGTCAATTTGACCCTCCCTGAGATCTCGGGAACTAAGAAAGCTAGAGGCACAAAATTTACAGGGTGTGTTTACCTGTACGTGAACTCAGTGATGTTAAAGTTTGAGAGTTGTAGGTCATGACCTTCAGGTTAAACAAGGTCAAACAAGGTCAAATTCCAGGTTGGTCTCTAAAGTGTCCCCAGAACCTAGGCAACTGTTTCCAAGGCAAAAGGTCACAAGCCTTTTTGAGGTCAGTGACCTTGTTTGACCTTCTCAAGGTCATGATGACTAAAATCGTACAATGACTGCTCCGAGTTTTGCATTTTAATAAGCGACAAAGATTACGCTTGGACAGTATGTTCCTAAATCAAAATGTCAACCCGGGTCATCTTAGGTCAGTGACCTGTTCTGACCTCTAAGAAGTCAGTGGAAGATGTATAATTCGGTTCTTGCTGTCAATAAATTCGAAATGAGCACTAAAAACTATCCCATACAGGGTCAATTGGGGCATTTCATTTCTTCAAAAAGTATATGCTTTTTGGCTAAGCGAGGATGCTGTGTTACAAACATATTGATGCCACAATGGGGTCAGGTCAAGGTCATTCCATAGGTTAGCGTGATAATTTGGTGCATTTATGCGACACATGATTCAAAATGTTTTCACATCCAGTTTGCTCGCGTTATGCAGCTTTAACATCAGCTGCAGTTTTTCTGGTCAGTACATGCTCAAAATGTAGGGAAGATGCTCACATCAGGTCATACGAGGTCAACATGACACGTGGTAGGCTAGTCACGTCATGCATGTTTCCGGATGGTCTCTCCCACAGGAATCCAATAAAATAACTTTTAATCTGGCATCGGGTCATGTTAGTTCCTAAAGGGATCAAAACCTGCTGTTTGTCAAAACCTTCTCTGACCTTTGAAAGGCATTCAATAGCCATGGGCAGGCTCGGGAGATTGATTTTCAACCTGCTGTGGAAATAGTTACCACTCAGCTCATGTCTTGTTTGAAATGCAAACTCCATAATTTGCAAAGCAGTAGAAGTTTCAATTTGCCAGCAATAAAGAAAACCAACTTATTTCGTAACAACTAGTACATTATTTAGTGCACAGATCACCTTTATTTATGCATGGATAACACACTCTAGCATGATTTCCTCAATACCAAGAGCAGCCACACGATGTCCTTATTTTGAACATCAACAACAATGGGGGATAGGTGAAAGACCTGGTCACGGCATCCCATTTCTATGCAGCATGCACAGTTCTTAGTATTGGTAGCTTGTGGCACAGATTCTTGTCCAAGATGATTTTGGCTGCGTCGGCATCATGGCGCACAGCAGCAACACAGTCTTCTGACAGTTCTTCTCACTGTTAGGATCTCGGACGCTCCTCTTTCCATGCCTCCCTCTTAGGCACCTGCCTCCGACAATTTCATTGCAGGCCCCTGACAGATCTAAGCAAAAAAAGTTGAGTGATCTAGTTATCATCAGCTTTCATGGGAAGAACTAGCCTTTACGATACCTTTGATATAGTTGGACTCATACAACAAGATAGTAAGCTAGACTTCAAAGTATGTGATGGAACAGCTGTAAAAATTTCATATCTGATCACTTCCATGGAAATTATTTGTCCTTCACCAGGCATATGCACCATGCATTGCTTATGTGCACCTGCATATCTAAGGAAGATGATGTGATGATGAAAAATTGATGTTCTGACAAGGGCGGCCGGGAGTCTAAGTCCGTCGGTTGTTCGCGTGCGGGTAGAGGTCTTCGGGGGTAAACGCTTGCCGGAAGAACTTCTCAACGGTTTTGAAAACGATTCTGAAATCGAGCTACATGAGTTAACATCATTTGTAGGCATGCGGTAAATGTTTGAAATTCACTAAAACACCGTGTAGTGTTAAAGTGTGAAGTTTAAAGTACGTTGTGTGGTATGTGAGATCCTTGCTGACTTTGCTTTCCCACTTCCCCATATGGCCTGTTTAATTATTGATATAGCCGGACGGGCCAATGCGACAACCGCCTTCACCTTTTGATTTGAGATGACGCATAACCGGTGACATGTGTCAACGTCAACTGGTGCCTATTTGAGCCTAAAAGCCGGATTCAAGGCCGTGTTTCGCATCGCCTTGGCGTACTTAGTTTGTGAGATAGCAGGAGGGGTCTGTAAGGTGCCAATATGACCTTTTTTGACCTGGCTTGACTGTCGAGCATCACATTCACCTTTGTTGACACACATCTGCCCAATTCAGTTGATGACATCTCATGAAATGTAGAAGCAAATATTGTTAACTTGTGAGCGCAAATGCAAGGCAAAGACTGAATCGTTTAGCACGTTAAAAGAGGACGTTTAGCACTTTCGTTCCGACCATTTGCGGCTGGGGCAGACGGTCATAAAGGAGGTGTGTCTAATGCTTTCGGTTTTCTCAATACACGCCTAAGGGGAGTTTGGCAATCATCTATGGTTAATTTTGGTTGCTAAATGTGCATTTGGGCCTTGCAACAGCTTTGATTCATTTATTTTTATCAATCCCATCGATGGCTGTGCGTGAACAAATACAGTCCTCAAAGATAAACCAATAAGCTGGCATCAATTGACGAATGTACTGGCTTAGATGTGGCGAGTAACTGCGCGAAAGACATGACCATTTTTTGGTTGCTAAGCAACGTAGAACAATCACATTTCCTTAGAGCCTGGTGCAGCCGATTGACACGACACCATATTTGTTCCTCATCTCAGTATATAGTAAGCCGACATGAATTGGTGCGTATCAACTGACCAGCCTTATCATACGTCTAATGCCGTACACTCGCAGCCCTCGGCTGGATGTAAACAAAAAAAGTCAACATTATGGCCGCCGCCATCTCTGTGTTTGCAAGTTGCTGTCAGCGCTGACAAGCGACATCCTCTAAAAGGCATTTGCTAGAGCTAACGATGCCTTCTCAATGATGTCGATGTGTTTAGTGGTGAATATTGCTTGGGGTCTACCCGATAACTTCGTTCTTCCGTACAAACCAAAGAAAATTTGGGGTCTGTGGGAATATCTCGTCAGTAGATGCGAATTGGTAGAAACGAATGACGCCAAAATTGTTGAGTTGAAATTCCCTGCCGTCCTACGTGCACACCTAAAAATCTCAATTTGACTAGACACACTCCCTTTAAAGCAAGGTCGTGCTTAGTGTAAAATGCAGTTTAATTGTGACGTAAAACAGTGTCGCCAGCTATTAATAACTTCAAGCGTTTGCCAACGCGCTTTGTTCGTGTGGCGTCCCGGGATATTGTTCCAGGGCGTTGCTGAGCTAGGCGTTCAAGATTGATATAATGATGATTAAGTAACCCCTTCCAAAAAATTGTTCCAGCAAAGGCGTGTGTTTACTATATTTTGTTCGAAAATAATTTGCAAGTTATATCCCGAGTCATGCGAACATGGTTATACGCTGTTTTTGCGTACTTTTCTCGCTCTGCTTATGTATTTTCTTGTTCTTCTCTGGCGTGCTTTTCTTGCCATTTTTTGCGTTATTTTATTGTATCCTTTTCCTGTCCCGTTTGCTTTCCATGCTTTTTAAAAGTTTTTTATGGGATTCAGTAGCGCCCATCCATCCCTTTTCCGAGGGTAATCAGTCCTCCTAACTTCAGTGTTGTTT